CGACCCCGTCGGCCCCGCCCGCCCGGCCCCGGGGAGGGATGCGGCGGCGCGGCGCCCAGGATGCCCCGCAGCCCCGGGACGCGCCTCAAACCCGCCAAGTACATCCCGGTGGCCACGGCCGCCGCGCTGTTGGTTGGCTCCAGCACCCTGTTCTTCGTGTTCACGTGAGTCCACCGCGTCGCCGGGGCTCAGGGGCCACATTCGGGCCAGAAGGGGCAGGGATCAGGTATAGGGACAGTGTACAGCCCGACGGGACCGGGGGCAAGGGCCAGAGGGCTGGGCAGGACAGGGCTGGCACCAGGGCTGTGGGCAACGTGAGCGCCCACCCTGGGCTGAGGCTGAAGCTAGCTGTGAGTGTGCTTTTCCTGGGGTACCAGGGAGTGATGAGTCCTATGTGTTGGGACACTAGTGCCCGACAGACACCTAATGAGTGTGCCAGACAGGCCCTGGGTATGAGGCACTGGGCCTGGACAGGAGAGTGTGTGCAGTGGCTGCCCAGGGTGTGGCTGCAGCCCTCCCCTCCCCACAGGCTGCAGGAGGGGACGTGGGCTGTCCAGAGCCACCAGCCCTCCTGCAAGAGCCAAGGGCGGCTCTTGGGTCCCCTCCCAGCTGTCTGACCGGGCCAGAGCCAAGTTGTTCTTGCGTAGGTGTGGCCTGGCCTGTCTGCCACGTGCCTGCCCCACAGCCCAGGGAGACACTGGCCTGGCAGTTACCCTCCACCCTTCCTTGACCTCAGGAAGACCCAGTGATCACAGCTGGAGGGCCCAGGCCAGGCCACACCCAGGGACACTGACCATGGCCAGCATTGGGGCCCTTGAGGCAGAAAGCAGGCAGGGCTCTGTGCTCTTGCAGCCTTAGCTTCTTCACCTGAGACACAGGCTGGCTCACAGACCAGAGTGGCAGGCTGATGACACAGCTCCCTCTCCATGGTCATGGGGGCCCCTTAAAGGGGCTCCTCCTGGCACAAGGAGGGGTTGGAGGCTTCAGACTTCAGCCATGTGGGTCCGTGTCCACCCGCTTCCACAAGTCCCAGGCTGAGACATAGCCCAGGTTACCAGAGCAATGACCAGTCAAACCTTCCTGGGGCATCTGAGGCCTCAGGGGTGGCTGTTCAGAGGTGGGTTAGCCCCTGAGTGTGAGTGAGGCCGGAGCAGGGTGGGCAGGGGCCAGCCTGACACCCTTTCACGTTAGCAAGAGCAAGGGTGGCTGCCCTGTGGATGGTGAGTCTGCACTGGGTGCCTGTGGAGGCAGGAGAGCCCCCTACCTGGACTCCAGGACTGGGTGGGCGCCACAGGCTGCCAAGAATGTGTTTAAAAAGGCCTGTGTGGATGGGCTTATTTCTGGCTTTGGTGAGCAGGCGTGTTCTTGTCACTCAGATGCTGCTGGCTGTGGGCAGAAAGGAGGGCAGGTGGGCAGCAGGCAC